CCCCCAAAACCCCAAAACCCCAGAAAAAGAATAATTGGCTTTACTTACATTTATGAAATTAAAATTATTAATAAATACTGGTTTACACATACATTGTTTATCAAGCAAAAAAGCTCTCAATAGTCTACTGCCTAGATTAATCTATTTTAAATAATTTCTTGGTCTTAATGCTTTTTTGAACTACTGTATCATCCTAAGAAAGACCTTTGAAATTCTTTTTATCTTTTTTATTTTACTCTTCTTGCTTGATGATTTCTAAAGCTTCTGAAATTTTTTATGAATGAAAAGTCTTCGCATTGTTCTCTATAGATAAAGTACTCATCCACATTGGTAGTTCAATTTTCCTATCGTATATATCAGCTTCTTTAACAACATTTGGATGCATTTGTCTTAGAATCATTGCTGCAGATTTCCCAGTCATATCTTATGGTCTTATACAATGCTTTACTCCATTTGCTGCGTATCCACTTTCTATTTACAGATTTATAAAGAAAGATTTACCTTCCATCACTAAGATGCAGCCTCTCGGCAAAGGCACAAAAAATGCTCCATTTACAAATCCATAAAACTAGCTACCAAAAGAAAGCCTCGAATCAGAAAACATTCTTACTGTATAAATTGGCTATTGATAATTAACTTAAAAAATATACCTGCTTAAATCGAGTTGCATCGTCATAATGCTAGGCTAGTCCTTCTGTGCCATCATGATAAACATTCATGGCAATTGAGTTAATGAAATCCTTTTCTACTATTTTACACTTTTCGAAGGGCTCAACAAGTTTTTACTTTACCCACAGTGGAGGCCGTGAAACATCACACCTTACACCAGCAGCTACCTAGCTGAAAGGTTCACTTAATTACTAGCGTGTCCACATGTATCTATAACCAAAAAAGAATTTTGTTCTAGTTAATCTGGTTCCAGAAAAAGTTTATTAGGCAGTATCAGGTAAAAAAACATCTAAAGAAAATGAATTAAATTTTATGATTACTTTTTGAACACTATTCTTCAGTTTGCAAGATGAGCCCTTCTATTTCTAGCATTTCCTAATGTGTGAAGAAGTTCTCATAAGCAGTCACTCCAATTGGATAGTTTTTAAAATCTTTACTTTTTATTGGATCTAAATAAATGTTACATACCTAAAAATTTCATACCGTTTAAAATTTAGGCATCAATATACTTGTGATAGTTTTCAGGAATATTATTTGGATCAAGATAATACTACTTTTTAATGAGATTTGGTCAATCTTTAAATTCAGTAATTTTTTCCTCAATGTAATTTAAATCAAATGCAAAGCAATCACGTGTTGAAATAAGTGAGAGTGGCAAAGTAGTATTGATGTTATTCACCATAATATACTCCTCTCCAACATTCTCACTAAATAATCTAAGCTCCTTAGCTTATTTTAGTTCCATTGTATCAGGATTGAAGTTGAGAATCAAGTCATTTTATGAGCTCTATTGTTTTAGTTCTTAATTACTTTTATTTTAATTTTAGTCTGTCTATTCCTATGAAATAAGATTAAGCCCAAGGTTGTCTTTTTTAAAGTTTATAGTTCTAATAATTCCTCCACTAAGTATTTAAGATTTGTTTTTAAACTTCTATCTTTAGATATTCCATTCCTTAAGAATTTAAGCTTTAAGAATATCTTCTATCTAAGAGATGAATGTTAATAAGTATCTTTTTGTAATTATATCGAAATTTCACCATTTATCCTCATCAACATACAGCTCAAGCCTAGCAATCATGGCATTGATGTTTACTCCATTCTAGTCAAGATTGTCAATATCTATTCCAACAACTTTGAGAACTTAATTGTTTTTAAAACTTTTACTTGACACATCAGTCAGGTCTTTATTTCTCCTTTCTTTTCTTAGATTTTCAGCCATTGAATCTTAATTATATGATTTTAGGAAGCTATCCTTTGATGCGAATCCCTTTTTAAAAAGTATTCCAATTTATAGATCACTCTCCTTTATATATTTTGCTAATTGAAGATCTAAGTCTTATTCCTGATTATACTCCAGATTTTGAATTAGATTTTGAGAGTCATATTTTAAGTTTACACTCATAAAGCATGACTCGTTTATTAAAGGCCAGCAATTTCTAAGTCCTCCTTTGATTATAAAAGCCTAGAAGTTACATATCTAGAGCCTTTAATCTTTATTCAATAAATATTTCTTCATGGAAACTTCATCATGCGAGTGCATCATTGTTAGAAGCAACTCAGCTTCATCCAATATAAATTTGTCTAGAACTTTTTAAACCATATTTTTTTAATCTTTCTTTGTTAGTTATTCAACATTGTAAGATCCTTGCATCACAATAGGTGGAAGTAATTCATATTAGTCAGAAATATCTTTTTACTAGGATTCAGATTTAGCTACAAAGGATACTCCGCACATTCTTTTAACCAATAATGATTTCTAAGATTATTAATGAATTAAATGTTCTCTTATATTTGTGCTCAAAAATTATTCTTTCTAAAGCATTGCAGGTTTATAGGTTTCATTTTCCTAGTCATTCTTTGTAAAATCAACAAAATTTAGTCCGTATTAATCCCTAATTTCTCTGTCAAATGGATTAATACAGATTTCACCTCTTAATAGAGGAATTATTTTTTCATCTTTATCTTAATTTATCTCTAGCTCAGTTGTATTAGTTTGCTATGAAAGGCTTAACTAACCTTTTAATTTCTTCTACTTCAATTAAGATTTTGACATTCTTTTTCCAAGTTTTTCCTATTCTTCAGGACTTAGTTGGAATTCTTCCTCATTATATTTTTTATGCTTATCCTTTGCTTGAGCTTTTTTCTCATCATCTGTTTCATCCTAACTACTCAAGCTTGCTATTTCTTCAAAAATATTTGAGTATATTGCACCAAAATTTCCATCTTTAGATTCTTGTATTTTAATTGAAATCTGATAATCAAGTGCATCAACCTTCTATCTTTTCACTTATCTTGGCCTTAGAATTCTGCTCTAATCTTTCATCAAAACAAGACTTTATTTGTCATTCAGTTTCAGCGTGTTTTTAATTGATTGCTAATCTTTTCTGGGTCTTCCTCTCTTTCTCTTAATAGGCTGAAGGTCTTAATTGGGATATATCTGTGGTGATAAACTAGCCAATTTTGGTGGAGTAGCAACATCTGTTCCAGAAATATGAATCATAGGTATTTATAGCTCGTTCTCTTAAGTTACCAGTCCTATTTCAATGTTTTAACTTCTTTCGTTAATGCTCATTGAGATGATATTCTAATTATTGATTTAAATTGAAAACTAATCTTGTAAGGATCCTAAATTTACTTGAAAATTCCCTCTCATTCTAAAATTTGCACTCTCCCATTATTATTGATGTCAAAAATTTAAAAGATTCTCAAATAATCTAATTTAAAGAGATTTTAACTATCCGGGGTTTTGGGGTTTTGGGGTTTTGGGG